GTACGTACGTACGTACGTACGTACGTACGTACGTACGTACGTACGTACGTACGTACGTACGTACGTACGTACGTACGTACGTAGTAGTAGTAGTAGAGTAGAGAGAGAGAGAGAGAGAGAGAGAGAGAGAGGGCAGAGTTTGAGAGAGACGGAGGGGTTAACATGTTAGGTAAAAGGGAGTCATTTCAAAAATTGTTTAAGTCAATAATAGAAACTCAAAAGAGTTTAGGGGTTGGAAGATAAAAAAGATAAAGACTTTAATGATGCCAGAAAGAGTATAAAATTTTGGTTCCCTTAATAAATGAGTGCCGAAAACAGGTGTATAGAGAAATTTTCCTCTCATTCTATACTTTCCCAATATAAAATTGGGTGTATAGGGGTGTGCCATTAACCATGCTCGTAGGCTAATAAAATTTTCTTGGGCTATGTATTGAAATGCATACCCCTAATTGCCAAATTTCATATCCGACAGCTAACTGATCTTACCATATACAATGTCTTTCTCATTCGATACAATGTGCTAGAAATGGAGCTCGTGAAAATATTAAATGTTAAGATCTAAGAAAAAGAGCAAAGAGAATGACCGTATTTTTTTTTATTTTTATTTTCCGATTTAAGTCATAAGGTGAAACTTGGAGGAATATAATTTTTCATTTTTCTTGGTAGCAAGGGCGAAACTATTTTTTTTTTTTTTCCAGGTAGATTAGTGGGAATTACAGGTCCTACCTGTTTTATATATAGCCAGTGATTCTCGAATGCTTCAGTGAAAGTGGAAATCTGGATCGTTAAGTGAGTCTTACATGCTGGATCACGACCCCAAGCCCCTTCTTGCAAGGGCCTTGGCTCGTCAACTTGTCTTCTTTTTTGTCTTTTGGGGTCAAAGTAGTCTAAAAGCAGCGCAAAACACACTTCTCAATCTCATTGAAAGCAAAAGTGCAATGTTGTTGAATACCCAGTTTCTATGCGTCCAAGCCCGCATATGTAGAAATGTGGGCCTCTTAATAAATCTAGTTTTGAGATGGATTTTAAGACTTAATTTTTAAGGACATGTAATCTCTAACATGGAGATCATGAATATGAATAAATAAATAAATTTTAAAATCCAAAAACTAAAATTTAAGTAAAAAAATATTTGAACCTTTAGTTTCCATTGGTTTTAGATGGAACACCTTAGTTTCCATTGTTTTAAATGGAACACCTACTTGCATCCATATTTAAGGATGCTTTACACTTGCTGGACGTCATATGTAAAAATGCGGTCCAGCCCACATGACACAATTTTCCTTAAGGAAATACCGAAATTGACAGTTCTTTTGATTTGGGACAGCATTCAAATTTTTTTTGGAAAATGCAATTGTGGTGATGGTAACCCTTGGGATGTCCTGCAAATGTATCTCTGCTCCTTAAACTTGAAGCACCAATACGAAATAGTACAGATTTGGCAGTATGTGAAAACTTGAAATCATTAGTCGCACCCAGACTCGGCCGGGTTGCCAGGGATTTTAAATTTTTTTAAGAAACTTAATTAAAAATAAAAAAAAAAGAAATTAATTTGTAATGTGTTTTTTTATGTGTTCTAACATTTTGGCAAGGATTGAAAAGTACTTTGGTTATGAATACCTAATTTCAATTTTTTTTTTTTTTTCACCATTTTTATAACTTCATTTAGATGTGTTTTGTTTAGTTGTACTTTAAACATAATTGTCATATTTTTTGGGTTTTTTTTGTATCTTTTTAATTTTTTAAACAAACTTTTAGCCTAGCCAGGACCTACCCCAGGCTAGCTTAGGGCAAGTTTCCGTCCCTGAGTTGTGTTTTCCTACACTGCTTGGACAATCCAGAAAATGTGTTGCAAAATAGACTGTTTTTAGGAAAAAATTTATATAAGGTTACAACCTTCTATGTAGATTTGAATGTTTTCATACATACACCTTACCTCTACAGCTACGGATGCATCCGTATGCTAACTGCACCCCTGTTTTTAAGACTTGATATTCTCTTTATTCATGTTTAAATTCCATAATTGTTGAGGTGAAGACTATTGATTTTGCAAGTTTTTCTAGCAACTTGACTGCATTGTTTGAACGATCTGAGATGCAACATTATATAGTCGTGGACAACAAAAAACTTTTAGGCCCCTTTCTTGTTATTGCTAGCATTTTCTTTTAGATTAAAAATGAATTATTCCCTTGTAAAGATGAAATAAGAAATTTCTAAACCACAATAATTTTGGTCTGCCATTCAAACAACAGCCTATAATAACTGGTTGAGTTGCTCACTTGCACCACAATGATTTTGAGACTTCTAATCATCAATTCAGTAACTACATCAGGAGCCAAAAAAAAAAATCTGCCAAGCTGAATGTACCATATATGCTTAAGGCAGTAGTACAGGCCCATGGGTTCTTCATACAACTGGGCTCATATTAATACATCATGCTTTTAACTAATGAAAATGGAGGAAAAGTTATGTAAGCCCATGGGCTCATACCATAGCAAGCCTGTTGAAAAAATAAGAGTTTATTAAACACCAAAATTTGCATAACATGTTCATCTCATAACCAATGAAAAAGAGTGCATTTGCACTAAAAATGGGGAAGGTTGAGCTATCATTATTATAATAGTTTTTTTCTTGAATAAAGTATGTGCAATATTTCTGCCTAAAAAAATTCCTCCTGACTTTATATTTTAGTCAACAGGTTCTGTACATGTAGCATAAGCTTGTTAACTTGAATAGACAGAACTTTGAAGGGGACAACATTCATTTACATCATATCTCAAAAGTGACATATCAACATCCAAAAAACCAATAGACGGCTGGCAATAGCCTTTGCTTCTCACTATTGACTCTTAATACAACGCAACAGAAAATAAAAAATTAGAGAACTGAGAATGTGTTAGCTGCTTCAAAGTCATGAAAGAATAATTGAATTTGAACCACCCAAGAGCTCCAGTTCCAGTTTCAATGGGGATTCAACTATTCAAAATTCCTTAGGTTCAGAAATTTGCAACTTGAAGTGGAGCCTTCCCAATCAGAAACTATTCAAAATTCCAAATTTGCGGCTTGAAATAGAGACTTCCAAAAATCAGTGAGGACTTGAAACATACCCCCGAGGTACTTCATTACTCTCTACACATGCAAAGAACAAGATATTTAGTCTTGTCTATCTCTCTGCCTAGAGAGTTAATAAATGATAAGGAAGAAAAAGACCAAAAATCATACCACTCTTAAATTGGATTGGATTCAAGCTAGTCACTTTTTCACCCCTCCTATATTCAGCTAGGACTGGATATATATTATCGAATGCTGCGTAAGTCTCTTCCCGCCTCTGAAAATTTATCAACGGGAAACCAACAGTTAGATCCCATTTCCTTTCTTGCTGCTCTGTACCAGAATGAAATGGACTTAAATGGAGTATGGTGCACGGAACTCCAAATAAGCACCATCATCCATTCATGATGACGGCTGGTAAAGATTATCACACCTGGGTGAATGTCCTTGTCGGGATAATTACTGCTAATCTAATGCCGTCCATCATTGAGATTGGATGGTGAATGCCTTTATGAAGCACTGGGCACCATATTCCCTTAGATTATGACATGCTCTAAAAAATAGAAAATAGTGGTAAATGTATTAAACCTTGGCTCCACTAATGACTATTTTGCCTGATGCAAATATGAGGATGACTAACTTTGGTTGCACCATCGGGTAGATCAGATCAGGGAAAAGTTCCGGCTCATACTGCATCATTAAACCAAAATGGGAGCATGAAGATCATTTGGATTGAATATATATCTTAAAAAACCCAATTATACAATGGATTTTTGACAAATTTCCAATTATACTACAATTCAATGGCCATGGAAAGCCACAATTATACTAGAATCCAATGGCTGTGGAAAACCATGGCACTTGGGTCACCACCACCCAATGAAAATGGTTGTTGGTGATGAAGCAGGTGGGTCCCACCATTCAATTATCATCATCATTGTCCACCATATCAACGATGATGAACCAATGAAATATAATTTTTCCAAAATCCATTGAATTATCACTTTGAATTCAAATTTAATGAAATGAGTGACCATATGAATGAGAAACCATCATGAAAATGGCAAAGCCTCTCGAGTTTGATGGGGAATTTGACATCACAGGATCCAACAATATTCTGAATTTTGAAGTCCTGAGATGAACCATAAATATCAATAACTTAATCAAAGAAGTCCTATATTGAATTACAGGATCCAACAATATTATGAATTTTGAAGTCCTGAGATGAACCATAACCATCGATAACTTAATCAAAGAAGTTCTATATTGAATTACTGTCTGGAACCCCACACAAACTCATGCAGGTTCTCTAGAAATTTGGAAGAACAGCGACCCCAAACCATTTATTTGTAACAATTTTACCTTAAGTCATGTAACATGCATGTTTTGAAGGGAAAATATTATGTAAGACCGAGGCCTTTTAAAGTTGTGGCTCATATCTCGATGGAGATACAGTTCTGGTTCCAAAAAAACCCTCTTAA